GCGCCCCGCGCTCGCCCCCTCCGCCCGGCTCCGCTGCCGAGTGAACTGGAACCAGTCGCCGCGGCCCGGGGCTTCCCACAATGCACAGCGCGCCTCTCGTCATATCCCATCCCGTCTCCGCGCGTCCGGCCGCCCCTCCCGCACCACGGGGGCGCCCCGGCCTTGACCCCAAACCCGTGGCTGCGCGTACAGGGGCTCTCCACGCTGTGCGGGCTGGACATCGGTAGGTCAGTCCCCTGGCCGCACCAAAGCCCTGGCTTCAGGCACCCCGCCCAGACACCGCACGCAGGGTCCTGCCCGAGTCGGAGACTCGCCCTGAGCTATAAGTCCTGGAAAAAGGTCGGGACCCCGGCAGAGGCACTTCTCCAGCATGTGTCTCTTCCTGTGCGTCTTGAGTGGCACACATTGAGCACCTACCGTGGGGGGACTTTCGCTGAGCATCCCTAGAAGCCACCCCATAAACGCAGGCAGGGAAGCACGACTGCTGTTAACGAGCAAGCACTTTTCCCTTCCAATCGGCGCAAACCTCCCACGCACCTCAGAACCTCCCGCTGTCTTTAAGTAACAAGCCCCCATCAAACCTGGTTTGCTCCGCGAACGACTACTGCACATCCGGCTCCCCTGGGGTTCTTCACAGTGACCTCTATATGCCTGATCTACTTTGTTGCATGGAAGCCGTTAGCTACTTGGATTCAACGATGTTCATTCTTGGGCCCAAGTTGGGACTTACTAACATAAACAGTAATTCCTTATCATCACACACATTTTTTTCAAACTGCAGACAAGCAGAAAGAGGAGGCGGCGATGCAAAGCCCATCTATGTATTCCTAAGTTGGTTTCTGACCCGAAGGCGTTAGTGACTTTCTAAGTACTTAAACAGAGGTCTTCCCTCTCCTCCTCTCCCCCTCCATTGGCCAGAGTGTGGAGAAGATAGCCACCTCAGCTGTCGGCCTATTTCGATAACAGTACCCACCTGGTAGTTGTTCCCTGGCTGCTGGAGGTGGTGGTGGGAGGTTATGAGAATCATTAGAGGCCCCTCCTAGCCTTCAGGCTGCCCCTATAGCAGAGGTGGTAACCTCCTCCCTTCACCCTGATGCTTACAATGTACTTTAAAAGTCTGCAAAGCAGTGTCCAATACATACCATTCATGTATTCATTAATTCAGTTAAGTGGTGTGGTCATACTTTGTGTAATGCACCAATTTGGGTGATGAAGATGAAGCCCTGTCTCCACCTCTCTCCAGAAGGTTCTACCCTCCTTCCTCTTCCCCTATAATTTGTGTGCCCTGTTCTTCCACTTCGATCACATGTGCTCTCACCCAAACTGGCTCAGAGGGTTCCACCAGCTTTTTTTCCTAATTGCAAAGTAAATGCATGCTCATCATGTAAAATTTGGAAAATAAAAATGCACAAAAAATAGAAATCACCCTAAGTACAAGACTAGGAGAGAACCACTGCTCCCTTCCAGCCTTTGTATCCATATCTACTTAATATTAAATATATTTAGGTTCTTATGGCATTTAGGGCTTGTCACCTGCTTTTTAAACTTAATGATCTTTTTGAACATTTAACCAGGTATTCTACAACAGCTGTTCTCCAACAATGTGAATTCAAAATACCTTTGTCTTCTTAAATTACTGAGGACTACAAAGAGCTCTTGTTATGTGGGTTATATCTGTCAATGTTTGCTCTATTAGAAATTAAAACAGAAAAATCTTAAATATTTATTAATTTATTCATTTTTAAAATGTTAATGCATAAACAAGTTACATGTTAATATAAATGATGTATTTGTATGAAAAATAACTATTCTCCAAACAAACAAAATTTAGTGAGAAGGGTGTCATTGTCTTGCAATTTTGCACATTTCTTTAATATGTGGTTTAACAGCTAGATTCTCACGTTTTCTGTAATTCAGTCGTTGCTATCTATTGTTTTAAGTATATGAAAAAGAATCCAGCCTGTATGAAAAAAATACAGATAATGTATTTGGGGAAAAAAGTAGAGAATCTTAAGAGCCTTTTCAGATAACTTTGGATGTTCTTATTTGATACTACACCAAAACCGAAAAAGTAGTAGTTTCTTAAAGATTAACTGTAATGCAGAATCAAACCAATCAATAAGCTTTTGAATTTGGTAACATAAAAATCCATTAACCTATCTTTTTTATTATCCATTATTTTTAATGTATTTATTTATCTTATTTTTTTTTTATTATCCATTATTCTGATGGATCTTTTTTAGCCAAGCACAATTTGGTAAAATCACTCATTTGACATTTGGAAAATAGTGGTTCACTGAGTTATACGAACCTTCTAATCTTCCAAATGTGAACTCCTTTCATTGCACAATATCAAAAAATCATATTCCTTAATATCACCACTGGTATCAGCAGAAGGTTTGTAAGTATTGAGAAGTCTTCAAGCTCATGGTGACAGATACAAATTTCCCAATATTGTAATTCTTGCTTGAATGTTCAAATTTATCATTGGCAACATAGTGTCACAGTTACTTTTCTTGAAGTGACAAGTTCATTTTAATCATTTTCAGGAAAATGTCTACTATTTACACAAGGCTACATTATGACTTTCCTGAGCCTTATGCATTTTTACCTTCTTGGTCCCCTTCCTCCATTTAAAAAGAAAAGACAAGACAAGACTGCATTGGTATAAAGACAGATATATTACCATGATATATTACAACTGTGCCTCATGGAGAACTCAGCCTTGCACGCACCCTGGTCTGAACAACCACAGTTTCCCTGTCAATCAGGCCCAACTTCTCCTTGAAGAGCAAAGCAGAGGCCCACACAACTTTGTGGGCTCACGAAAATGTTTCAGATTCTTCTAAAGTCAGAAGAAGAAAACAAGGATTAATTCTTGTAGATCAAATAAAACATTCTAATATACAATGTTAATATATTTGTCTTTATACCAATACAGTTGTAAAATATAATTTTTGTGTCTTTTTATAGAAGGGACCTACAAAAGCAAAACTGCCTGGGGCTGATGAAAAATGTGGTCCTGCTGTCAGTTGCTGCTTCAAGTAAAAATAGTGTCTCGTGAAAAAAGCAGCTTGTTTTTCCCACAACTCAACCACAAAGATGCTTTTCCTCAAGGCAATCACCCTAGTTTGTTATATAGCAGAAGTACTTCATACATACTTCCTATGTAGTCACATAGAATATTTTAAAAGGTGTTCTGAAGGGTCGAGAATCAATAAAATTCATAATTTTTACAGCTTCATCAAGGACATTCTTAAGTGAAACTGTTGGCAATGAAAGATGAAATAATTATTAGTACAGTTTGTTGTGGTTGTTGCAATGTGCCAACTCATCAGCAGTTTTACCACGATTGTTTTTGCATTACTGGTGCAAAGACCAACACAATGAAAAAGCTAAATAACGTCTTAGCATTATCATGAAAAGTCCCGGAAGGAGTCTCAGTGACCTTAGGGGATCTGAAGACCCTATTTTGGGAACCACTGTTCCAAACATCCTGGGGCTGTACTGCTGTTCAGTTCACCAGTTGTTACTGGTTGTTGTTGTTTTTCTTTCCATTTCCCACTCTGTTATAAAGACCTGTCCTTAGAAATACATTTTTGTGCACATCTGACTGTTGAGCATTAAGTTCTTAGAAGTAGAACTGCTGGATCAAAGGTCCACAGTTTAAAAGCTTTAACTCAGGTAGCCAAGTGACCCTCCAGAGACACTGAGACACAGTAGGGCAGGACCGAGCATTCCTGCATTTCCCCAGCACCTCTTGGCCCCGCCCTGACCTTTGATGATCTGAGGGTCGAACGGTGGGGTGTCACCATTTTCCTGGTTTAGCCTGAACTTGTTTGTGGAAGGGCAGGGAGTGGTCTCTAGTTAGTTCCTAAGCTTTTGATCAACCCACAAAGAGCCAAGAGGAGTGAGTACGTTATGTGTGTGTGAAGGAGCGGAGGGATCCTGGGAAGGAAATAAACTTCTGCCCGGCCATGCTCGACACCCGCAAGCAAACAAGTGTGCTCTTTTCCAGGGAACAAATGCACCATCATCCCTTCCAGTTGAAGCCTTTCTTCTTTACTTGATTACTTCAGATAAGTTCCCTCTCTTTGATCTCTTTGATCTACAATTGGAGGCATCTGACCCCCTTGTTGTCAATGATCCCCACCCCTCCTGTCTTTGTTAAGCAGTTAATACCCTTCTCTAAGAGAAGTACAGGTGACTATTTACCCTTAATTGGGAACAACAAAGGCACCAAGGACAACCATCCTAGAGTGTATGTAGGAAGGAGGAAGGGGTTGTATTACCTCTCTCCAGGTGTAGAGGCATCTCTAGATTTAAATATATTCCCCCTGAAGTTAGAGCTGGATTGAAACATAGTTTGAAGAATTTAGGCT